ACACGTGATACAAAAAAAATTCTAAAATATATGTAAAAATTTCTAAAAAGTTCTAAAAATTTGTAAATGAATATTATCAAGAAGCAAAAAAAATATGATGTCTAGAATTTGGTAAAAAAAACAACAACCATGAATCAATCGACTCTATAAATTCTTTCAAACCAAAATGGCCGTCGTCCTGTAGGTATAGCGCTTGGCTTCGTTCCGTGCTTTCTACTTAGTATCTGCTAACAAGAAGACAATATGGCAGCCATCACCATCGACAATGCCAATCTTGAAATAATTGATTTCTGCTCACGAAGTAGTTTTTCTTCCAAATTTATCAGTTCTTCTGATTTTTCTTTTCACTGGCCTTTTTATTAATTAGTTTTTGGTTATATACCACCGTTACTGCCACCAGATTTGTTGTGCCATAAGCGTGAATAAGAAATAAAGAACTTAATTTGTAATACAGAAGAAATTATACGAAACACTGGTTTGATTTAGAAAGTTTATTTAGAAAGAATGATTAAATGATTTTTGTATGTTTATTGTTCGCTTCTTGAAATCTGCTGTGTAAGAGAGCTATGCAGATCGTGTTTTTGATAAGGAAACGTCGGTCGAGTCGTCTTCTGTCCTTTTCGGGGCTCCTCGTGTAGATTCGGTCCATAGTGCATAGGCATAGATGGGACCTGTGCATCTTACATGTTTAAGCCGAAGCTGCATCGGGGAAATTATGCATAACAATACCTTTGAGGTTATTACTAAAATGGAAAATATGTTTATAAAAATATTTAAATATTTAAACAAATAAGCAGTCAATGATGAAGTTCTACAAACACAATTACATGATAAGTGAAATTTATCTTATTTATTTATTTATACAATATTTCTTCATTGGAAATTTAACATACGTTTCCATGTTTCTCTGTTATGATGGCTATGGAGACTAATTTTAATTTATTTTAATAGTAATTATAAATATTGATGCAGGCTCAAAGCTTCTTACAAACTATGAAAGATCAAGATTACATCGTCAAACAAAACAACTGCAGGAAAATAATCGGTTACTGCCAATTTATTATAAAATCTTGAGCCAGGGGTATCAATTTAGATATTAATGTCAACACCATTGACATAAGTAAGAATCTTTTCAAGCTATTTGATTCCTGAAAAACGCTGCAACTATTCACATTTAAACATATTATTCTGTTATCTTTTTAGATCAAAGTACTACTGTTACTTTTTCTGATGCAGCAACTTACACCACGTCAATTGCAAATTGATGATTCTGTATATAATGTGACAAGAACTTATCTTTTGCAAGAATCAAATGAAGTATTTGAACTTCCATATAAAGACTTCAATTTGTTTAGGAATGCACGAAAATTGTTTGAAAAACAATTTACAAATGATAGCTTTGGCTATGTATGTTTTGTGTGTGATCGACTTTGGTTTCAAAGTGACTTAGAAATATCAAATGATGCTCAAAAACAAATTCCTAATAATGGTTTTTTGAATATTCATTCAAATAATCAGGTTGGATGTCAACCTTTTCGAAAGGTATTAAATTCCTGTAAAATTCCCACTTTGTGTAAATTTAACGGGTTTGTATTTCCACCTATACCAAATTATCTACCTAAACTAGATACTGTATCTGATAGGTTAATTTCACCTAGGTTGTGTTTCATGCAAATTAGACGATTTGGACAAATGGACGATGGACAATTTGGAATATTTTGACAAATTATAAATGTGCCTGATGATATGGTTAATTTATTACCTAGTAATATTGATGATGATCCTTGCATTAACGTTCACATAAAAAAGAAAATGATTCATAAATCAAGCTATGTGCAGGGCTTTATAAATAAAACAAATATAAAATGAATAATGAAGTAAATGAATGTATGTTAATTTTAATTACATGAAGTTCTTCAAAATTATTACATGATGACTGAAGTTACGAAAACAATATTTGTTTAGGCGTTGTTTAACATAATCCACTGTGTGAACGAATATTAAAGAACTTATTAATCAGCAATTACTTTAAACCGATCATGTCATATTTCAAGTATGACTTTCATTACATGATTGTTTGTAAATATTATACATATTTTTAATATATAATTTATATATTTAAATATTTAATTTATAATTTATCATTATATAATTGTGTACAATTGTCGACACTAATAAATGTGTGCATCATGAGTGTTACCATATTACTAATAAACATTATTCCAAATTGTTATATGATGTATTTATTTTTACTTAACTTAAATTTGCTACTTTGTACAGTAGCAAATAAGTTTTACTTCAATCGCGTGTGATCCTTACGCGCACTCTTTTTCAGTGTCAACCTTTATACACATTTATATAATGATAATTTATAAATTATTTATTTATAATAGCATTAAAAATATGTATAATATTTAAAGACAATAATGTAATTAAAGTCATACTTCAAGTATGACATGATCGATTTGTCATTGTAATTAGCATTTAGAAATGAACCTTCATTAGAGAAATGAAGTGATTGCTGATTAATAAATTCTTTAATATTTGTTTACACAGTGGATTATGTTAAACAATGCCTAAACAAATATTGTTTTTGCATCTTCACTCATCATGTAATCGCGTTTGAAGAACTTCATGTAATTAAAATTAACCGTTGCAACCAAAAATTGAAGCCATACTTTTATATTTGTTTTATTTATCAAGCCCTGCACATAGCTTGATCTATGAATCATTTTTTTTATGTGAATGTTAATGCAATGATCATCATCAATATTACGAGGTAATAAATTAACCATATTATTAACGTCAACATGCACATTTATAATTTGGCCAAATATTCCAAATTGTCCATATTCTTCTGATTCAGACATTTTTATTAATTTACGATCTATACTACTATTTAACCTTAAAATGTTTTGACATAACACCGGAAATTGAACAATTTGCTTCACGCTTTCAGTGACGTGCGCACGTATAAAGTCACGTTTGCGGTGACATATGCACGTATAAAGTCACGCATACCAAGAAGCCTCGCACAAATACGACCAATCAGAATCGATCCGTACATAAATCATATCATGGAGAGCGAATCATTGGCTCTTGACCTTGCCGTAACAATTTTCGTTGCATTTGTACGGATTTACACCCATGTCGCGCCTAAAGAAGTTTTACTTCAAAAAAGTAACAGCAGATCTGCGGGAGCACATCTCGAAAAACAGATTTTGTGGTGACCTCTCTATCGCTGAAAAAACTCATCCGAAATTAAAAAATCAAGATTTCAATAAAGAAATGATAAATCTAGTAATTAATCGAAGCAATAGGCAAAATAATAATTTTTGACAAAATGGCAGATTCTTTAAAAAAAATGGTTTTTGTCGAAATTTTGACCTTAAATTATTCACAAAAACCAAAATATTTATCGGATAGGAAAAATCTTCGAATAATCACTAAAAATATATATTTAATATAATTCTGTTAAAATCTTAGTCTAATCGGAATGGCCGTTTTTGAGTTATGTTGGTCACTGGTTTTAAAAATTTGGATTTCGAAAAAAATGCGTTTAAAATTTGGAAAGCAAATTACATGGGATATTTTTTTTTTCTTTCATGGAGTCATTTATTTTAGGGCCATATAAAAGACCCTCCACCGATTGGAAAACTTTTAATAACTCGAGCTACGGTGTCGTCTTGGAGCCATTCTTTCATATCGGGTGCACACTCGCGCGCGACTCTCTAAAATTATCTTGCGCTGCTAACCTTGTTTTTCGGCATTCGAATGCGTATCGAGCCCAAATTGTAATTTATATTGCCATCATATAATTCAATTGTGATTTCATTCATTAATTAAATATGCCGGTGGTTATGTATGAAGCGTTGTTCACAGTTATCAAACCGATCGGAAAAATTTTCACATTTCACCTTTATAATAACGTTATAAAATTTAAAATGCAATACTAAACATTCTAATAACATGTAACTAACTTTTTCTTTGTTTTTTTTTTTTTTTAATTTTTTTGCCGGATCACCAACTAGTATAAGTTCTCCCGTCTCATCTGTGCTTTCCTTTTCAAATTTGCGTGCAAATTCGAAAATATTCTAGTCTTAAATATATGTACATTGAGAAAAAAAGTTCAAAAAAATAGAAATAAATACTTCTAATGTCAACAAACGGAGTCCTTCTCATCTTTTACATGACAGTTATAAAGTCATTATAAATTTAATGAAAATTACTTTTTTAGAGTGTTTGTAATATTTCGTTTCATTATTACACCCCACATTCACTCACTCTGATGCACGTGCTGCGTAGCCTTGATGAGATTTATTTAACTCTATACGACGTTGAATGAACATGTTTCAAATTGGGGCTTTATGTTGCTCCTTAATTTTTCCTTTTTATTAATTACCTATTAATTATGTTGTTCTTTAGCACAATTTTAATGTTTATAATAAAATTTATGTTCTTGTGTTTTTCCTGGTTCGGTGTGTAGATAATTTTCTTTCCTTTTTCTATATTATATTTTTTATATTTATTATCAAATGTTATTATGTAATGCTAAATTAGATAAATTGTTTAAATTATAAATTACACGTGTTCTCAAAAGAAGTTGACTGTATTGTTTGTGCGGCATAAGTTTTCCAATGTAATTTTTACCGCCAGACGCTCTTTAGGAATCTAAAGTCAAAATTGAGAATCAAGTGGCAAGAAATTGGAAAGAAACGATTAAATATCTGATCTAATCATTTTTCTGCAGGATAATTTAAATCTAAAATAACTATTTGAACTCTATATAATTTACTCCAAACAAAAGATTTTTATTAGTCCGATATATTTTTGAAATTAGTTTCATTATTGAAAAATTTATATTTGAATTTTATTTTGTTGAATTGTGTTTTGAGTATTTATTTGAAAATCTAAGTATTTGGAACCGCATAGAAATATTTTGTTATTACGATGATTTTTTTTTAATTCTTACGATTCGTATAATTATTTTTCTTTTTCAGGTATTCCGCAAATAAAAACGAGAATTGCGAAGTTGAGGCCTCTGAAAAGGCAGTTATTGCAGAAGACTCATTTTGTAAAGATATTGATTATAATGCAGACAACATAACTAAAAATCAGAAATCAAGTTCATTAAATAATACCTGTTCAAATGAGTTAAAACATCATTATAAGACTGAACAAACTGTAGTGATGGACAACAAAAGCATTGATACTTTATCAAATATAGATAAACTATTTTCAACGTCTGAAGTTTTGGTTTCAAATAATCTTGAACATCAATATAAAACGTTGCTTCTGAGTTTACATAGAGAATTCTGGAATCTTCCGAACAATTTTCAAGATAAACCAACTGTATATGGTTCTCAAACCAAAAACCGATATAATCAAATTTTACCTAATGAACATTCTAGAGTGGTTTTAAATGAAAAAACTCCCTGTAATACAGAAGGATATATAAATGCAAATTATATAAAGGTAACTATATATATATATATATATATATATATATATATATATATATATATATATATATATTTCAAATAGTCTAGAAGTTGATGTTGATATAATATGTTTAATTTGATTTATTGTTTTTCTATGAAATTTCTTACATATTATTTATTTAGTTTTAATTTTTATAGTTGAATTGATTGCCACTGAATGAAGGCTAAGCTGCTAGCCGAAACGTATAGATTTTAAATAAAATTCTAAAAACTCTCATATGTAACGCCCTACTTTTAAACTCAAAACTCAAATTAAACATATAATTATAATATATATATATATATATATATATATATATATATATAAATATATATATATATATATATACACATATATATATATATATATATACTAGCCGGCCCGACAGACTTCGTCCTGTCAAAAAAATTGTAATGTGGCGGTGTTTTGTGCCTACCTTTTTTCTATTCTTTGCAAAAAATTATCCTGAACAGAACCGTCACCCTGGTAATCATTCGGTGTGAATTAAAAATAATTAAACACTATAAGCATTTAAAAGTAAGTAATTGTAATGATGTAAATCATAATTCAAAAATCAGTTCAATTTTCATTGTAGTGCTTTGTGATAAACGATGTTTTTTGTTTGATTACCTGGCGCATAGACAAACAAATCTGATGGTTTTCCAATACGGAAACAAACAACATACAATTTTCCATGTGAGAAACATGGGTTTTCTAAATTAAAACCACAAACACTTAATGATACCATAAACGCACTGGAAACGCATTGGGATGCATGGTGCGAGAACATCTTCTGCTTTATACTATCCTTTGAATATAGTTGGTCGATATTTCGCAACATCATAATTGTCGATCCAACCTTTAATTGAAGATTGTGAGGTGACAATCCTAGCAAATCCAGCGAATTTAAAAACTCCGGTGGATCGTCTTGGTTAGTTGTCGAATCAACTGATTCGCCTGTAATTTGTTCTTGAATTTTGAAATTTAATTAATGTACATCAATGTTTTTGGCTGCCAATATAGCTTGATTAATAGAAAGATATATCTATGTTTATATAAATATATTCAAAATTAGATTACCAAAAACTACACAAAATGTCATGACATAGATCATTTTTTTTTACAAATTGCGTTGCCTACTCGATTAAAAAAGAAAAGGGCTATTTTTAGGGTTTTCCCGGCAATTATTCGTTTTTTTCTCGCCGTAACAACCATCTTTGGACTTCAACGAACATTTTAAAAAAAGAATTGGCCAAATTAGTCCAGGCGTTGTTGAGTTATGCGCTTACCAACACATTTTGCGATCCATTTTTATATATAAGATATATATATATATATATATATATATATATATATATATAAATATATAAGATATATATATATATATATATATATATATATATATATATGTATATATATATATAGCCTTCATTCAGTGGAAACTAAAAATAAAATTAAAAACTAAAACAATTGAATTGGAGTGAAAAGAAAAAAATAAAATAGTAATTAGTACTTACAATTAGTTGATCTTAGTGTTAAATTGGAAAATTTTAATAATCCATGGTATTAGGATATGGTAATGCACTACACTATGTATTATAAACATTAACTTGAAATTACACAATATTTTCACAAAATACTGATTTGAAAAAATCACAAATGGATAGTGTGTTATTTGTAGACTGGTTGAAGATGTAATGGAGAAAGACATTTTTTAAAAAATATTTTTACCAAGATTCTGCACATGTGTGGAACAAATTGTAAATCCTTTGCGCGAACGCTTTTATTGTTTTGTAAGAAATTTGGAAATGTTATCTAAATAGAAGAGATTTGTGTCGCACAGCGTGTTGAGTTCATTCCGTTTATTTATTGTCTTATTGTTATAAATAGTTAAAAAAGATTCCTCTATAATTCTTCGTTTAAATAAATTTTGTTCAAATTGTAGTACAGTCGGATTAGAAAAGTCCATATTGTGTTTCAAAGTGTATATATGGTCTGCAAGAACAGTTTTGAATTGTTTGGGGTTTTTTGAATTGTTTTTGTGTTGTTGTAACCGTTTATTGAGGTTCTGGCTAGTTTCTCCAATGTAAATTAAATTACAGTCTAAACAATTTATTTGATAGACGAGATTTCTGAGTCGTTCAATATTAAATGGGGTTTTTGTCTTGGTAAAAATAGTGCTAGTAGTTGTACTAAAATTGGTTACAAGTCGAAGTCCAGATTTATAAAAAAGTTTTTTCCAAGGAACATACAATTCTTTAATGTATGGCAAACATATTACACCAGAATGAGTTTCTGAGTCAGGTAAATTGTTAGGTACTGTGCAATTGTCCATTTTATTCAAAAGGTACGTTCGTCTGTTACTAGTTACGGAATTTATAAGTTTTAGGGGATAAGAGTTATCTGTTAAAATTTTTGTGATTAATTTGATGTTGTTGTCCCAAAATGTTTTGTCCGATAGAAGTTGCGTGGTCCGTTAGATTTATTATAGTACCTATTTTCATTTTGAGTGGATGATAAGAAAAGTAATTAAGGTAGCGTCCGGAGTTAGTTGGTTTTTGGTACCAATTTGTTATTAGTTTGTTATCTGTAGTACGTATAAGTTTTATGTCTAAGAAATTTATCGAGTTCATTGTCTCCAATTCCACTGTAAATTTTAATTTTTTATTGACGTTATTAAATTGATCAATTATCATAGTGACATCATCACTAGGGATACAAGTGATAATGTCATCTACATAACGGTAATAAAAAATATGTTTATTGTAATTTTTAAAAATTGTATTTTCAAGGAGTTGTAAGGATATTTCTGCTAGAGATGGACTTACTGGGGACCCCATTGGCGCCCCAAAAATTTGATAATAGAAAGAGCCATTGAATTCAAAATAAGTGTTAGAGACAATGAACTTGACGGTTTCCCTGAGCCAGTGTAAAGATAAAGAAGTCAACGGGGAAATTTCATTCCATCGGATTGTTATTGCGTCTAAAATAAGGTCTGGGGGTACATTAGTAAAAAGTGAGACGAAGAATTATAGAGGGATCTTTTTTAACTATTTATAACAATAAGACAATAAATAAACGGAATGAACTCAACACGCTGTGCGACACAAATCTCTTCTATTTAGATAACATTTCCAAATTTCTTACAAAACAATAAAAGCGTTCGCGCAAAGGATTTACAATTTGTTCCACACATGTGCAGAATCTTGGTAAAAATATTTTTTAAAAAATGTCTTTCTCCATTACATCTTCAACCAGTCTACGAATAACACACTATCCATTTGTGATTTTTTCAAATCAGTATTTTGTGAAAATATTGTGTAATTTCATGTTAATGTTTATAATACATAGTGTAGTGCATTACCATATCCTAATACCATGGATTATTGAAATTTTCCAATTTAACACTAAGATCAACTAATTGTAAGTACTAATTACTATTTTATTTTTTTCTTTTCACTCCAATTCAATTGTTTTAGTTTTTAATTTTATTTTTAGTTTCCACTGAATGAAGGCTAGGATTATAGCCGAAACGTATGGATTTAAAATAAATTTTTGAAAGAAATTCATGTTTTTTATTGATGTTATGCCCGATTATTAGACTTTGTTAATATATATATATATATATATATATATATATATATATATATTGTATGATTCTAAATTTGATGCTGACATATGTATTAACGAAGTCTCATAATCGGGCATAACATCAATAAAAAACATGAATTTCTTTCAAAAATTTATTTTAATTCTATACGTTTCGGCTATAATCCTAGCCTTCATTCAGTGGAAAAATTAGTTAATCTTAGTATTATATTGGAAGATATATATATATATATATATATATATATATATATATATATATATGAATGGTAGAGTCTTGGATTTGTGTATATTTTGTAGAGTTTCGAACAAGAATCCAAAAATAATACAAAATAAAAAAACAAGAAAAGTTTTTAATAAACAATTTCTTTATTTAATTATTTGTTTACTGTCAACGTTTCGGAACTAGGTACGTTCCATCTTCAGGACATCTGTCAAGAAACATGATCTTGGTGAGATTTAAGCAAACAATATGTTAAGGAATAGAAAATAGATTTTTCTTAAATAATAAATTAATTGTAACAAATAATAATGTACAGAATTTTCTATCATTTTTAATATCCTGTTCTGATAATCCACTCATTTATTTTTATCATTTTCATTTTGATCATATTATCATATTTCTGTACATTATTATTTGTTACAATTAATTTATTATTTAAGAAAAATCTATTTTCTATTCCTAAACATATTGTTTGCTTAAATCTCATCAAGATCATGTTTCTTGACAGATGTCCTGAAGATGGAACGTACCTAGTTCCGAAACGTTGACAGTAAACAAATAATTAGATGAAGAAATTGTTTATTAAAAACTTTTCTTGTTTTTTTATTTTGTATTATTTTTGGATTCTTGTTCGAAACTCTACAAAATATATATATATCTTCAACAGTCTACGATTAACACACTATCCATTTGTGAATTTTTAAAATTAGTATTTTGTGAAAATATTGTGTAATTTCAAGTTTAATGTTTATAATACATAGTGTAGTGCATATACCACATCGTGATACCATAGATTATTAAAAGTTTTCAATTTAACACTAAGATTAACTAATTTCCCACTGAATGAAGGCTAGGATTATAGCCGAAACGTATGGATTTAAAATAAATTTTTGAAAAAAATTAATGTTTTTTATTGATGTTATGCCCGATTATTAGACTTTGTTAATATGTATATATATATATATATATATATATATATATATATATATATAAATATATATATATATATATATATATATATATATATATATATATGTATGTATATATATATATATATATATATGTATGTATGTATATATATATATATATATATATATATATATATATATATATATATATTAAATTTTTTATATAATTTTGATGTTGAAATATGTGAATTCAGTTT